GTACTTTCAATATTCTTCTCCAGCACCACAGTTCAAATGCATTGATTCTTCTACGGTCTTCCTTATTCAATGTCCAACTTTCACATGCATATGTGGGAACAGAGAATACCAGGGCTTATGTCAGGTAGTCATCACAGTAACATACAAGGAAGACAAAATCCTAAAAATTGTAAATAGAAATTTGCAGGCAATTCCAGAAAATATTATTATCTTACAATCATAGGTAACAAACAGACAAAACAAAGAAACTATGTGTTTTGGAATTATGGTGTTGTAAAAGCATATCAAATGCACAAATAAATCTGTCCTGCCAGAATGCTCCATAGAAGCAAAGATGTTGATCATCTTTTGAACTTTGAACCTGTTAATAGGAGAGATCAATTTCATGGAGAAAGACATCATGTTTGGTAAAGTAGTGGAGCAGGGGAAAAGAGGAAGAGTCTCAAGGAGGCGGTGACTCAGTAGCTACATGTCGTATGTTTAAACATGACCGTGATTGTAAAGATCCTGTTGTGTCTCAGTTCGTGTCTGTAAGGTGGCTCAGAGTTGTAGCCCACACCATGGCTTCCAACACAACATTTGCTCCTTAGAAACAGATAGTGTCAACAAGGTAAGAAAGTGTATCAAAATTAGCAAAAATTCATTTTCATTTCTTCTATTTATTTTGGTGTGATAACCCTAAAGTTAAGCCACAGTAAGAAAAGTGGCATGCCTACCTGGGCAAGAACACTTTGGAGGTAGTCTCATTTCACACAACAACAGCAAACTACATTTTTTATTTCTGGGAAGAAGTCAAGCCAGGCCAGGCCAGGACATGCAGCATCTCCGGAGGGAAACCGACACAATGCATACCTGAGCTCCACACTGATCTCTGATGTGTATGGGGCAGGACCTCTTGGGGACCTGGAGACAAAACCTTTCTTACAACAGACCCAACTTAATAAAATCAAGTCCCTAGCAGCTTTCCGCATATTTTTTATGAACTTCTGCAAGAACGTGTTAATGACAGGTATCTGAAAGACATCAGAATAAACAAAGGCAAACTGTTTTCTGTATGTGTTATTTCACCTTTTTCAGAATTCAGAGGCAGTGTGTATTATGATATGACAGTTTTCTTACTGCAGCATATTTTTCCTTGGGTTGGTCAATATAAACTATGGTTAAATTACTGATGCTTTCTTTTAAAAGGTGAATACGAGCTGATTCATATCATAACTAAATTAATGCAGAGAAATATTTTTAAATATTAGCAAAAATTGCTTGTTTAAAATGGCTGTGGGTAATAATTGTATCTAAATGAAACAACATCAATTTAGATTCCATTTTTTCTTTCATTCAGTACTCATCGTTTCTAAGTACTGGTTTTAAGATAACAAATAAAAATATTTAAAGGGGAGAAATTCAACTGCTTACAGTGTTACAAGTTCCAGTCAATTTTCATTTAACATGTTATTGTGTTCGGTGTGTTCTATTAGGATTATCACTGCAAACTGTGGTTTGAGAGTATTGTGAATGATTTGATTGAGAGATTACACAGCAGAGGCTTTAAGTCGTTCCAATCAAGGTCAAGTGTTATGATGAGTGTCAATCTTTCTCTGTGACATTTCCAAGTTTCTTTAAAAGCACGTTTCCCTTTTTCTGCATGAAAATTTACTTTCTAAATGGATTTTCTCTGAAGAAAATTTTCTCTTCAAGACTAGACTGAGGCGAAGAAGCGAATATTGGTGGGATATTTATTAGTGCCAGGTGCAGTCCAGGTGCTTCGATCCTTGAGGGAGTCTCCTAGGTTTTTATTACAAGTAACAAGCTCAAGGTCACAGAGCTAATAAATATCAAAGTCTATCTCCTGAATTAGCTGGAGGAAGATGGGCAGGAGCAACTAGCTCATCTAAAATATTTTCTAATCAAACCACGAACTCTATACAAGTCTCTACAATACAGAAATGAGACCACCCAATACAGACCCTCCAGTATTATTCTTTTCTCTTAAGACTAGCTCTCCCTTAAGGGTGTCCTTGCATTTCCACTAGGTAGTTTCAGATGGCAATGGCTAAGATTCTTGAAGAATCCTGGTGGCACAGAGGATGACATGTGGGCTGCTAGCCGCAAGATCAGCAGTTTGAAACTACCAGCCCCTCCAAGAGAGAAAAATGAGGCTTTCTACACCTTGGGAGGATTGACAGTCTCAGAAATGCACAGGAGCGGGTCTTCTCTGTCCTGGAGGGCCACTAGGGATGGATTCAATAGCAGTGAGTTGAGTTATGATTATCGAGGCTCTTTCTGGAACACAGCTGATGCACACTTGCCATTTGTGGCGTGCTGTCTGCAAAAGCCGATGCCAACAACTCATAGAGTGCCCCTGGGTATGTGTCCAGCATCGTCCCTGAAGCCACAGAGTCATTCCCTGTGCTCTTGACTCCGCCTCAGGCCTGTGACCTGCTTGGAATGGTGCGTCTGGAGGCGGTGGAACCGGCAGACTCGCAGGCAGCCCTCACGGAAGCCAGCTTCCATGAAAAGATGCTCGTGTCCAACAACGGACCACCGACTGGTTTCTCAGAGCCAGTGAGGAGCCCTGCCAGAAGGTGCCATTCCAGCCCCTCCCTGGAAGTAGCAGAAACATGAGTGGTGTCCCCTGGAAGAGTCCAGCCTCTCCAGAATTCTCAGTTGACTGTGGCTGAGAACCGTGTGAAAGGCGAACACATGTTCTGTGACGAGACTTGGGGGTCATTTTGTTGTTGACTGGCAATGTGAGGGAGCTGAAATGGAAAGTGGTGTCTGGAAGTGTGATGGTGCCATGCTCACCCCCAAGACTGTGCCGGGGCTTAGGGGCCACAGTCACATGGGTGCTGAAAGGGCAGTGAAGTCATAGAGGCTCGAGAGAGGAGGCCTTCTACTCATGGCGCCGAGCTTAGCAAGAGCCTCACCTGTGTCAACACAGGGAACACACCAAGTGTATACATAAACTTGTACATCTAGCTAGTACGTGTCCCAGCAGAATGTTAAGGTGCCAAATGTCCTCTTTTAGCCATACATGATAAGTGATTGTACGGGAGAAATGAGTTAATAGAAGGAGTGGGGGGAAGGGAACTCTATTGTTTGCAAGCAGATTTTGAATAAATGCAGACGCAGGCAGTCTCAGTGTAAGAAACTGTCTCCAGGTGAGAGTAAAATCAAGATGGTTTTATACGTTTTGTGAAGAACTATGAATAACTTAACCAGGAAACTGCTCCCCCACAAAACCTACAATATTGCCAAAGGCATTGTCCCAGACCCCTCCAGAAATCCAAGGAAGAGAGAGAGGATTGTGTAAAAAGAACGATGATCTGGTTTGTGGGGGTGGATATGGTAAGTCCACATAGGGTAAAAGTCACTCAAAACTCACAAAGGTTTCAATGCCGTGTCTCTTGGGAACGAACTGAATCGAGTCCAAAGAAAGACAAACAGTGGGCTCTGCTTCCCCACCATGCTGTGATGGGACATGGAGGAAGGGTGCTAACCAGTAGCAGTGGCATTCTTGATTGGCCAACCAGGAATCCAGAGGCTGAGTCTCAAATCCACTTCTACCTTCTTGTGAACGACCTAGCCTGTGTGGGATGCAGGAGGCACTGCTGGATGATGAGGGGAAGATCTCACTAGGGCAGAGTATTCCAGTCAGAGTCGCACCACGGACTCCATCTTGGACATGCCAGCCTGATGGAGTTCCCAAATGAATGCAACCCCAAGAATGGCCCCAACCCGCTCAAGCAGAGCTCTGGTGCTGTAGTAGTGACGAGTTGAGCGGCTCATCGTGAAGTTAGCAGGTTGGAACCACTTAGGCGACAGAGGAGACTTTCTACTCCCATAAAGAGTTATCACTTCAGAAACTCACGGAGCCAGCTCTCCCCTCCGTGATAGGGTCACCATGAGTCAGAATTCACTCAACAGGAGGATGGTTTTGTTCAGATATCCACGAGAGCAGAAGAACCCACCACTGGGCAAAACCTGCCCAACTCCGTAGAGCAAAACCAGAGACCTCTCTCTCATTGCCTTATTTTCTCCTAGGAGTGAGTGGGAAAAGAACCGGTTTGAGTCTTTACAGGCTTGAATCATGTATCCAATTTAAAGCAACAGAGCTTCTCAACCAAACAATCAAATCAGTGTCCTTTCTAGGCTGTTTTGACTTATGGAAAATGGTCTTTGACACAGGGCAGAGCCAAAGCCAATTAAAAAAAGTGGGGGGGGGGGCACTATCCAGTGTTAACCTTGGACCTGAACTACAATACAAACTACTCCTGGCACAGCTTCATAGGGTGAAGCTAATCACACATACATTGTACCTATAGGAGAATGCCCACTTTCCTTTAATCACCTCCCATGATGAGATAATGATACATCAACTTCAAGAGCCACTTAAATAATTCAGATTCAGACTCAGATTTGTAATGTCCCACCAAAGGCTCTTTTCATTACATCGAGCTACCCGCATGACAAACATAGGCTTACAACTCATAAATTGCCCGTGAATCAATGTGACCCGAGGGGTATAAAATAAGCAAGCTCCCAACTGTCAAACAGACAAAATCTCAGGCAAAGAAATCTATCAATTACTAAAGTAAAGCATTGCTTTTGTTAAAGAGTACCATGGTTCCTTTACTGCCTCCTAAACAACTTGTGTGGTTTTCAAAATAGACTTGTTTGGAGATATCATGATTCTTCTAGCTTTTATGAGAAATGTATTCTTAAAGATCATTTTGCCTCCACCATATTTTTCACATTTTAGAGAGAAAGGTTGTCTTCTAGTATTTAAATTCTTACCACAACATGCAACACCTATTTGTAATAGAAACAAAGAAAGCCACTAATTGAAATACTGAGTGTGAGTTTGCTCCATTCCTATTTCTATGCAATGAAATCCATGACATGAATAGTTAAGGACACATGAAAGGGGTGGGGAAAGGGCTATCAAGCTTTCTTAACCATGATTTTAATCTTGACCTCAATGTGCTATGCGGCGGGATTACCTGCTTTGCAACTGTCTGAGTTTGGTCTCCAACTTTTCATTCATTTCTTTCTGTTCATCCAGAGATCTCTGGAGCTTAAGGGTCTGCTTCTGAGAATCATTGAGCTGCAAGAAAAGTCCAAAGTACTTTAGTTCAAGTGACTGAAATGAAACAAGCGATCATCTGTGTGACACACTCTTATCAGGGGTGGCCAGGGGGTGGTGGGTGGTGTTGGTGTTGGTGGAGGGGTATGTATATGCTCTAGTGCTGATGCAGGCATGTATGGAAGCAGGGATATTTGGTAAAATCTTCCCAATCTAGGTACACCCACCCCATCCCTGTTCCTGCCTCACCTGACTACAAAAGTCACCGTGCTAGAACTGGTGGTTAGTGTTCCTTTGATCTTCACAATTCACCTTAAATGGATGTACATATGAAGTGACTTCAGAGAGTTCATGGGAAAATTCCATTATCTTATACTCCTATTTTCTCATGAATTTCTTGAAGTTTGCTCTTTTCTGGACAGATGTACGAAATATGCATGTGTTAAGTATATGCATGCTAACTATGCAAGTACATACATTATAAATAGATATGCATATATAAATATTCTTTAACATATATTTGGATTCCTTTTAACTGGCTCAAATACAGCTGATATGGTATTCCAAGTAATCTTAGAATTCTGTTTTTAATTCAATAAAATACTCAAATCTATTTTTGTTTGTTACTGTAGTCTATTTTAGTGTGTTTGATTTTTTTTTTTTTTTTACTGTAGCACTACACACAAGGCCCTGATATGCATCCACCCTTCTGTCCATGGGCATTGAGTTCATTTCCATGGGGTTGCTATGGATGAAATTATTGCACAGGCCTACTATGGATGTGTGTGGAACATTTTCTTTCAGCTATCTTAGGAGGAGAATTACCAGGTTATAAATGTTTTAATGCCCATTTTTACAAGATGTTGTCAAACTGTCTTCCCAAATGGTTTACCAGCTTGTACTCTCAAGGTAGAGGCAGTGGTGGTTCTCCCCTCCCATCCCATAGCATGCTCTTCATATGTGGCCTCTCTCCTTGGACTGTGGTCAGTAGGGGTTTCTGTACTGCTGTGACTTATTGGCTGGCTCCGCCCAAGTCTCACAGTCATTGCTATGTCAAGCCTATCCCTGTAGTCACTCTGTGATCCATACCATGAGGGTCTTCCACTTGTTTTCTTTATTTCTTTTATATCATATTATTGGGAGGGTCTTACAGCTCTTATCACAAATCTATCCATCCATCCATCGTGTCAAGCAA